ATGTACATAAATAATGTACTGATTTTTTTTCATTGAAGCTGAAACGTTAGCTCTAATAAGAAAAGAATTTATTTCAATGTTGACATTACTTCTAACTACTAAATTTTTAAGGAAGTTCTCCTTAAATAGCTGATACCCAGAGATTTTATGCTTTGAAGCAAATCTAGCTCCAAAATCAGTCAAACTATCATTTATAATTAAGTATTTATGCATTTTTTCTTGGGTTATATTAGATAGTAAGGAAAGACATCTTAACCAAGAGCTTATTTGTTCCTGTACAACTTCTTCGGAATCTATTTGATTTAACTGACAAGATTTTTCTCGAAATACTGATTGAGTAGCGATGGAAATGTTTCTAACATGGATCAATATAAATAGCATTTGAATCATGTTCTCATGACATTCTTGAGATATAACATGCTGTCAAAAACAAAGTGTTTTTGAGTTAAAGTTTCAAAATCACCATATTTAAAACGTTAGTTTGTTGAAAAATCTAGTTTTCTCATGGACTTGGACTGTTTCGATTCTGATTAAGAATATTTTGTTACTTCAGAATATTTGGCAAACCAGAGACAACTAAGAGAAGTAAAACTGTTCAAACAGTATTTAAACTGATAAGAATACAATTTAAAAGTAAAAAAATAGAAATGACCATTCAATTTTTTACCCGACCACATAACAAAATTTGTGTAGTTTTTCTATAAAAATGACATACTATTTTCTATAGGCATTTTGAAACAAACAAGCTATAGAAATAGAAGTTTCTTTAGACTACCGATTGCGATTCAATAAAATATTTTATAGGTTTTTTGTATTTGGAATTCTAAGACCATTTGTTTCAAAATTCTATAGAAAACTGTGTTGATTTAAATATAGAAAATCTATACACATTTTGTATATTTGTTATTGGAAGAAGAAATAGAAAAAATTGCATAAATAAACTTTTTAAAAAAATGACTTTAAATATTAAATAATTAAAAGAGATATTCAGAAACTCATGATGTAAATTTTTATAAGAAAAATTTATTTGCACACAAGTAAACATTTAAACATAAAACTCTTTTGATGCTTTCTGATTAGAATTTTATCGACAATAAGTTTTGATGTGCTTCCATACCAATAAGACAATATGAGAAACTTTGGAAACAAGTTGTACATGATCTATAAACACTTTATGATTAAGAAGAAAAATCTTTGATGTATTTAGTTATCTGACTTTTTCATGTTACCTGACTTTATCATGTCACCACTTATCATTTCTTTTGTTTTCATAACAATTGTTTTCAATGAAACATTTTCGTATGAATGGAATAATTTTGTTTTACTGCAAAAAAAGTTTCGTTATATTGAAATGTAAAACTTACAAGTTACGATAATTGTTACAAGTAGTAAAGGTGCATTTTTAAAAGATAAAAATAAATGTTGTTTGTGTGTTGTGCAAGCTTAGCTTTGTCAAAGAAAGTTTCGTTAAAGTATATGGAAAAGGTCTCAAAACATTAATTCGATTAAGCGAAGAATGGAGTATGAATGAACTATGCAGGTTAAAATTTAAATCTTACAAAGAAGATTTTTCACGCAGTTTGTTAAATCTTCAGTTTGCACATAATAACTCATATTCACAATGAATCATTTCTAATTAAATATTTATACAATTAAACGTATTGCCCCATCAGTATTATCTTGTTCTATCTGCAAATGTAATAAATATAATGTTCTATCTAATATGTAAAATAAATACAAAAAAAAAAATTATATAAATAAATGTTTTATGTAGTATAATATATTATATCAGGTAGAACATTGTATTTATTTAAATATATATTTTTTTGAATTTGTTTATATATTTGATAAAACATTTGTAGATAGAACAAGATAATACTGAGGGGACGATATGTTTGGTTGTTTAATAGAAAAATAAAATTGTTAGTTATTTAAAAAGGTTTGGGATAAGAAAATATACCAGATAAGTTATTTTTGCACATTTTTAGTTATCTTAAAGACCAGTTATGACAGAACACGCATAACAGTACAACAGTACTAGTCCATTATAGTTGTAGAAGACAGATTAAATATTAAATATAAGTTTTAAACCAATAAAAGAAATTGTATCTGAAGTATTTGAAATCTAACATTTTGTATCAGGCCTATTATTTATATTAATAGAAATGGAACAATAAGAAAATAGATGATGCTAATAAATATAAAATAGTTACTGCCTGCGTTACTTTTGGTCAACCTTGGTGGCAGAAAGCGCTCGGTATTTTAAAAGATCAGAACCTCAATATAGTATGTCGACTTGGAGGATTTCATACAATGATGAGCTTTCTTGGAAGCATTCGAAAATTAATGGCAGGAACTGGCATGGAAGAGGTTTTAGAGCAAGTTTACTCTGAAGATACCGTAAAACATATGCTCAAAAGAAAAGCTGTTGCAAGAGCCTTAAGAGGTCACATGTTGGTCCAGAGTGCGTTGATGAATCATATTATAGATATTTTAGTTACGAATTAAAACTAAATATATCCGGACTTGAATCTCAAAAATGCTTAACTTATTTGCCGCATCAGGACATTCAAAGTATGCCAAGTGCTCTAGGTTATACTTGCAAGAAATGCAACATCTTTCAAAAACAAATCCGTGGTAACACCAACAATTTTTAGATGGTTGTCACGCAGTGCGCCAATCTGCAAGGTATTGGGCTGGCCTATCTTCTGATCATGTAATTGAGCAGACCCTGATGCGTGGTTTAACTAGAAGTAGAGGATTTAATGAAAACGTACGCAACCTATGGACAATGAGCATCTGTTATTCCGTATGTGTTCATGAAGCAATGCATAAATTATCTGTATTAGACATCGGAATTATGGAAAACAATAAAGAAATGGGTATTAAAAGATTAGTATGTGATTATGAACATTGTGAGTTGTTTTATGACTGGTTTGCTGTCAGAAATCCATTTAATATTGATGATAAAAATCTATATTCATTATCGACAGGTGTTGTGTCAGTAAATGGTGAAGATCTTTTCAACTGAGACGAGGCTGAGAACATAGGAGTTCGTCTACAAACTTGTCTCGACGGTCTTAAGTTCAATGAAATATAGTTTAAAAAAAAGGATACGTTTTTTTCTTTGGATGTTTTGACCAATAGCGTAAAACTAGATAGATTAACTAATTGTTGTGTCGATTCAACACTCCTTTTTAATAGGCTGGCAGCAATTGCAGAAAGAGAGGATGACGTTGAACTATACTTTAATTATGAGCTTAATCATTTCCCACAATCATTATTTAAAAATAACCTAATGCTGAAAGCAAACAAATCCTCTTTGAGCAAAGTGATTCTTCCTGACAACGAAACTAAATCAAGTACAAATATTAGCTTGTACAAATATGTCCTTGACGGTGGTTCCTTACTCCATAGAGTGGAACAAAGGTATGATATTTATAGAAATTGTTGAGACCTACGTCAGCTATATAAAAAAAAAATTATGCCACTACTTATATTATATTTGATGGTAATGATAAAGGGTCTTCAATTAAATTAAATAAACACATCAGAAGAACAAAACGCAAAGGATCTTCCCAAAATCTTAAGAAAATAATCAGGTTCCGTACTCACAAGAGCGTTTTCTATCGAACTCACACAACAAAGCACAATTAATTTTACTTTTGTCAGATTATCTTAAACGAGATGGTCAAGAAGTATAAATTTGCAAAGCGGATGCCGACACGAAAATTGTCGTTTGCAAATTCCAACGATTTAGAAATTGTTGGAAGTTGCAAAAGAAATTTTACCATGCGTTGTTGTTGCCGATGATAAGTATATAGCAATGATGCTAGTTTATCATTGGAAAGATGAATTAAATGAAGTTATTCAATAATGGGAAAAGGAAAACTAGTTTTTTAAAATTACTGCAAAAATCGAATAGTTTACAATCAGTATCTGAAATTATTTTGGATTACTGGGCAACCAAAAAAGAAGTTAAAGAATCTGCTGCAAAGGCTTTCATTGAACTTTTTGGTGGAAATACAGAATCTTCGTTAAGGAAAATGCGGTTGGTATATGAACTTTTAATTATAGTTTTTGTCATTCATTTAAATTGAGAAAATTTAGATTTAGAAAATAATTAAATAATAATATTATTATTTTTTAAGTTGATTAAGGTGCCCCAAGAAGTCCTTACGGTCTTATCATAGAGCACCGCGGAAGAGCATTTAATAGGAAGTTCACGCCTCCTTCCCAACCGATGTCGCAAAACTAGCCATAGGTGAGTTTTGAACCAGGGATCCTACGTTTCTGAGGTAAGTGCGCTATAACTGCGCCACGGGTACTTATTTATTTCTTAGATATTTGATATATAAATAAATGGTTTGAGAAGGAATTACAAGACCAGAAAAGTTACCACCCACAGATCGTGCAGTTTATTTTTATGGTCTTAGAGTTCATCTCCAGGTTATTGAATGGAAAATGCTTGATGACTTAGATCCAAAAGAATGGGAATGAAAATTAGATAATGGTTGTCTTCTTCCAATACCAACAGACAAAGATGTGGCACTACCAAATATATTAAAAGTGATTGTAAAACTTTGTCGAGAAATATGTGCGGAACTAACATGTGTTCTGGCAGGAAAAACGGATTCAAATGTCTGCATGGGATGGCTGTCACGAGCAAGACTGCACTAATAAAACAGTAAATTTTATTTATTTTAATGAATTGTATGCACATAATCTTCTTCAAATATATTTGTTGTTTTTGTGATCTACTGTGATGTTTTTGTTTCTCCTACTAATGGTTCAATCAACCTAACCTTTTTAATGGCAGGTGGATTTTATAATCTTATCTTATTAATTGGCCAGGGTTTAATATATCTATTCATTAAACTTTTCAACTTGTGGCCACTTACTCCCAATTGTAATTAAAAATATTGAGACACAAAAAGGGTACATTTTCAAGCTAGATTCAGATGACTAATTTTGGACTTGCAATAAAAAAATACTACGAATTAGCATTTACTAACATTTCTTAAATCATTAGTTATTATTCTTAATATAATTATTATTCCTAATATATTTGTATCTACCAAATATTATTCATAAATTAAAATCCCTATTAAATTTAAAAACAAATATTATGACCTATACAAAAAAAAATTCACAACAAAATCAATTAAATAAATTTTAAAAACCAATAAAAATGCTAATAAAAAAACTAATATAACTAAATTATGACAATGTAATAAATATTATAAATAATTCAAACAAAAACTTTTAAAAAAAAAAAAATATTCATGTCAATCTCATATAAATAAAAACTTAATTTTTTTTGCATTCTGCAATAATTCTGCAATACAGTATATACAACACACAATAAACTTTTAAAACTATCTATACCAAACATAGTTGAAAGGTTCTTTATGATCTAATCCTTGTTAATTTTCAAAAAATATATTTTATATTATTTTAATTCATTACACCTGTCAAATAAGATATTTATAAACAGACAAAACAACTCTTTTTGGAAATGAGAATACTTCATTAATTCAATCCATTGAGAAGATGAGTAATCAGACTCTTTAAGAAAATTTGCATCCATTTCAGGATGAACCCCTGACAAAAGCACTTTGCCTTTACCAAACTTTGTAAGTACAATGGCTTTTTTGTCAGTAAAATCATTGTAAAATGCAACAGTTTTGTGTAAGGTAAAATTTTCTTCAGGTATGAATTCACAACCACCATCAAAATAAGCATAACTATTTTGGTTGACTGTATTAAAATCGTGATGCAATTGCAAATGAACCATGCGTGCACCACTCGTGGAATCATATTTAAATCCATTGTAAACACTTCCTCTTGCAATGCCCTTAAAAAATTGTAAACTTCTGTACCCAAGGACTTCAAGTGAAGTTCCTTTTTCAAACTCAACTTGAGAACAAGCAAAATATGCACCAGCACAAATACCTAAATAGGAACCACCCATGTCTACGAACTCACGAATATTATCAATTGCTGACATTGTAATATCTCTTGTATAGGGTAAGTCTCTACCACCTGGAATTACAAGAACCTTAGTAGAAAACATCCAATTTCTAGATTGAAGTTCTTGTGATGAAACCTTTTTCACTAAAAATTTATTACTAAGCTGATCTATCAACAAATTACAGATGAAATCCACATATTTTGTACCATTGCCATTGTAAACCAACACAGAACTCACTAGGAGAAAAAAAAAAAATTTTGAAAACCTTTACACATTGTATAATATCGAATAAAAAACTCCTCATTCGGACAAAAAAAAATATTTATCTGAAAACTATTCAGATAACAAACCTGCAAAAAGAATTTATAATAACTTACTTCTTTTGTTATATAAATATTGACCAAAATTTGAAAACAGCACTTTAAGAAGAGAACATTTTCGAAAATAGCAACCTATCTTGATACAAAAAAATATTCAACTTGAATTATTTATTTCTTTTAACAAATTTAAATGCTTAAAAATTTAATGCTTTTTTCTTAAAAGAAAACTTTTTCAAAACAAGGAAACTGAAATATATTTATATAAAAAATCTTTATTTCTCATGATACTTATTGCACTAATTACACATTTGAAAAAGTCAGTCATGAAATAATTCTTATTTCCTTTCAATATCAAAGCAATAGCCACTTTGATTATGTAACCAGCAAAACTCTCGGGGCTTTTCTGTAATTTCAACTTACAAAACTAATTTATTTTGAATACTGCACAGTTTATAAGATTATTTGAGTAAATTTTGACTTTCAGTACTTACACTTACCTAAAAACTATTGAAAAATAAACATAAAAACATTAAGCTAACTTATTGCACATTAATTAGATAAGACTTAACTTTTAATTAACAATATTAGGTGCTTCGGTTGAACATTTCATTTACTTGATGTCATAACTTATGAACGAAACTCTTTTCTCAATAACTAATTAAATCACAAAGGTGAATAATTATTTTGTTATATATTGTTTTCATAATAAAAAATTTAAACCAATAATATGTTTATCTATTTAAACTTATCTCTTAAAACTTAAAGTGCTTACAATTAATTTTATGCTTGTATGTATATTATTAGTTGTAGCAACAAAAATAAAAAAAAATCAACTATTTATAAAGAGCACACTATTAAGTTTGTAAAACAACTTAAATACAATAGACACAGGCATTTTTATTGAAGATAGCACTGGATAATAATAACAATCATAACTATATCAATATTTTAAATAACACACCACAAGAAATATAATATTAAGCATAATTTTTATTAAAAACTTGATTTTTAAAATTAAACTTGTTTAAAAACATAACAGTGACAAAACTTTTTTTTTAATTCAAAGTTAAAAAAGCAAACAAAAAAATAAATAAAGAATGATATGAGAAATTTTAAAGAAAAAACCCATAAAAAAATCATACTAATCATATAGTATATATGAAACAAATATAATAAATGGTAATATAGTTTTAACATATATTTTAAAATAAAAATACTAATTAAAATATAATGTAACACAAAAAAATATAATAACATAAGTATAATGTAACGTAAGAAATAAAATATAAACAAAAAAAAATAAAATCCCAGAGGAAAGATAACTAGTCACGTTGGTATTATTTATATGCTATGTCACATACCTGCTATTTAAGTTTTGTTGTGATCAACCTTCAATTAGAATACTTACATTCGCAATTTTATAAACTATAAATATAATTGCTTAATAGCCATTTTATCTATAAACACCTTGCCCAACTGCACCATATCCATAGTTCATTCCAACACTAATATTGTTTTGTGGTATTGGAGTTGAGGCAACTCCTTGATGCATAAGCAAATTCATAGCTGTTGCTTGTCCTAGCTGCTTGTTTTGCTTAAAAGATACTTGCAGTATTTTACCATCATATGGATGATTATGCATGGTTGCTATTGCAGCTAGAGCCTCATCTTGTTTACGAAAGTTAACAAACCCATAACCTTTACAAGGTTTTTCAGGCTTAGCATTGTCACGAATCAACTTGACATTTAAAATACCTCCAAAAGGAGCAAACAACTCATAAAGGGTAAGTTCAGAATGATGTGGTTGTAGTCCATACACATATACTGGATTGCTTAAAGACATTGGATTATATTGCACAATTTGTTTTGGGACACCTGCTATTGAATTCAGTGGTTGAGCTGCAGCTGCAGCTGCAGCTAACTGTTTTGAAGCAGGAGGAATCGCTAACTTTACTATAAGAGCTGTTGTTGAATCAGGCAAAACTTTACCAGCCATGCTTTCAATAGCTTTTTCCGCATCAGATTTTAATGAATATCTGACAAAACCAACACCACGACTTTTGCTTGCTGCATCAGTCAAAATTTTATGTGTTATAATTGATCCAAATGGAGCAAACAATGATAGCAAACGATCTTCATCTACCCATGAAGGCAACCCAGCTACATAGACATTTGAATTTTTAATTTCAGTTGATGATGGTCGAGCATAGCTTACCTTTAGTTTTTTATCTTGAAGAGTCATACCGTCGAGTTGGTTGATAGCTTCTTCTGCTAATTGAGCTGTTGGGTACTCAATAAAGGCGTATCCTAAACTTTGCCCAGTTGTGTAGTTTCGAATTAATTTACAATTACTTACTGGACCAATTCTTGCAAACATTTGGCTTACTTCATCTTGAGTAAAAGTTTGCGGCAGATAATTTACAATTAGATTTCTTTTTACATCAAACTCATCATCTTCTTGTTGTTGCTGCATAGAATCTGCTTTATTAAACTTTTGATCCGGTACAGAGTAAGGCGACGCCCTATTGTCCGCAAATGTTGTATAACCTCTAAGAGCCAGTTTGGCAGATTGTAAACACGATACAAAAACTCGATTCCAATGACTTTTTAGATAAAACGAGAGAATACAACCTTTCTGATAATGAGACCGCTGAAAAGAAAACCGGAAAGCACTTTGTTAAGACATGGCAGTCAATTCGAGACAAAAGAAAAGAAGCCAAATTGTGACTGATTTTATTCAAACAAGCTATTTAACGGGAAATCGGGTACCGACTGTTATTTTTAGATTTATTTATCTTCCAAAATAAGCTTTTAAAAAAATATTTTAAAAATCTATTTGATAAAATTGTAGAAATTTAATTACGGCTACATTAATACTTATTTTAATAAAATTTATAAAAAACTGTATCAGTATGACTAGAGCTATTATGACTAAATATTGTTGCTGTTCGTAGCTAACAACATTTCTTTATTGTTGTAAAATTTTTACCGATGCAATTTACTAATAGTAATTTTTGATTTAAATTTTTGATAAATAATAATTTAATTATCAAAAATTTAAATCTTATAAAAAATGGGGTAAATGAAACAAATTCAGCTGACCAGTACTGGCCTTAGCTTCCTAGCCCCTCTCGTGCAAAAATTTTCTGGCCGCCCCTGATCAGGGGCAATGACAAATGTCGTGACAAATTTATTAATTTGCTTGTTAATTATATGGAAAATAATAACAAATTGAATTAAAAAAAATACATTACAATGAAATATTTAATTTACATGCAACATAAAAAAAACGTATAATTTACACTTAAAAAGTTACAAGACTAGAAATCAAAAAATTTCCGCCCCAGTATATATATATATATATATATATATATATATATATATATATATATATATATATATATATATATATATATATATATATATATATATATATATATATATATATATATATATATATATATATATATATATATACGTTATCGTATAAACGTTCATCTGAACGTTATCATATATAACGTTCATCTGAACGTAATCATATAAACGTATATCAAGTATTTCTCTCAGAAACTGAAAAAAAAAATGTATATTAGGCAAAGGAGATAATATTTCAATTATATTATGATTTTGTTTAGTTGTTATGGTATAGCGTATTATGTATTAAATATTTTTAAAAAAATCAATTTTATTATTGGACCCTAAAATACAATTTTAATTTGGGACATGTCTTCTTTTTCCAGTTAACATGTTGATTTTTTCATTTATGACAGTTTATAAGGTAAATTATAAATAAAAATTTGTACAAAAGAAATAACTTTCGAAAAACAAGCAAAAGTAAATATGTTAAGACTTAGAAATAAATTTCTTATTTTGAAACAAAAAAAGTTATTTGATAGAATTTTAAAGGGCTACTGAGCTGAATAAATTCTTTAGTCCTCTTCTATATTTATACCCTGTCTAGTTGGAAGTTCTAAACTATTTCCCAAAAAGGCAAAAATTCTGCAGATATAAATTGTTTTTCTAATATCTTCCATTTTAGAAGCAAGGATTGGAAGTTTTTGCGAATAAGCCATGGATGTTAAGCCATGGATGTTAAGCCATGGATGTTGGCATCTTTAGATCACGAGTTTTTTTTTTTCTTAAGTCAAATTTGTTTTCAAAGAAGCCATCAATGAATTCCCTGCAAGTAACTTCTCCTGGTGTTTGATTTTTGATGTAAAACTGATAGAAAAAAGAAATTGCAAATTTTATTTTAAAAGTAGTTGACCTACCATCAGTGCCGTGCCAGACAGTTGGTAGGCCCCCCCCCCCAAAAAAAAAAAAATTTGGGCCCTTGTAACACGTCAAGCCCGTCCCCCGGTTTAGAAGGGGGTAATTTGTTTTTAAAATGTAAAGTTTGATAGTTCTTTAGGGGCTAATCCCCACCCCCTCCTTTGTATTCGCCAGTCAATACAATCATCATTGTATGCATGTCAATACATGCATCATTTTGTTAGGTTTACCGAATTTGAAAAAATAAGCAAACGTTAATACGAAGTTTTAATATTATAAATAAATAAAAAACACCTATATCATAATTTTAATTTTCAAAAAAGCCCCTTCAAATTCCTAGGGTCCCCCCCAACCGGGGGGTTTGGCGGCTTTTGGCACGGCACTGCCTACCATACGAGTCATTACTAAAAGCCTGCTTTTTATAATAATTAGACAATCATTGTTTATAATCAATGATATTGTTTATATCAATTTCCTGTAGTTTAAATTTATGGCGTTTTGATGATTGAAGAATTAGAGATTTATATTGAGATAAAGTACAAAATTTCTCAGTACGCCGCAGAGCTTTACTTATCAATCCAAAACCTCTATCTCAGGGCATGTAACTGTGATCTCTAATTGAAAATTTAATACTATTTTTTCAAAATTTCTTTATTCTACCAGGCCATAAAAAAGCGCAGAGTTGTATTGACGGTAAGTTAACGGAAATAGTACAAGTGCTGTACGGGGATGGTTGGTAGCGATACATTAGCCTTAAAGTCAGTATATATTCCAGCAACTGAATCATCTGTTGAGCAAATCTCCTTGACCAATTTAAGAGAGCTATAAAATTTTTTTGCTCGAAGTTTGTGCACAAGTAATTCGGCTACATCAGCTCTTTTAGCATTTTCATTAATAGAACTGCTTTTACCTTTTAAATAAAGTTCTTCACACTTAGTACAGCAGTCTTTTGCTGGCCTTCCAAATTTCAAATAAAAATTTTTGTTAAAATAAGTCTTATAAAAAAAATAAAGTTAAAAATTTATTAAAAAAATTACTGTTATCAGGTTATTTTGTTTTCTACATTTCGTACATAGTTTTTACTGAAAGGCTAGCATCAAGATATTTTATAATTTTCCCAGGACAATGAGAGTCATGGGTAGAAAAAGAATCTATTTGCTGATGAATCCCCCGAGCTACTTCTGATAACACTGTATTGCTTCTGTTTCCATGCTTTCCACGATCATCAAGAGAAGACTTGTTCATAAGTAGCAGTTCAGTAAGCCTTTCGATTCTTTTTCTTAAAATACCATAAGCGAGAAAAAAACATTTCTTACGAACTACTTTTCTCGATCCATTAAAGAGTAAATGGTATTTTGTTATATGAAGGAATATTGTAGAGTATCGAAAAAAATTTATTTAACATTAGTTGAAAATGTGTCCAAACAATTTGATTTGCAACTGTAACAAAAAAGTAAGAAAAGTTTTACGAGAATAAATGATAATAACAGTTTTTCTTTTTTAATAATATTTCTTTTATACATGTGACTATTAACAACGCCTTTCTTTCTTTTGTTCCTAGGAGAATTACTTTGACTGTCTGTACTTAATAATAAAATATAAGCAATTAAAATACACAAATCGTTACAATAAACCAGATAAAGTGTTTATAAAGTTTGACATTGACACAGCTTATTCTGACATTAAAATATAGTGATGCTTTTAGTGGTATTTTTACAAATCAATGCTTTAAGGGGGAAAACCCCTCAAAAACTTATTTTCTAAAGTAAAGCATTAATAAAGTTATTACATGTTAAAAGTAAACTAAATGTTAAGAAGATCTATCATAAAAAATGGCACTATGTTGCCATGGCAACGCGGTTACTAAGGGAAAATGTCAAATTAGTCTCTTCAGCCTGGCAAAGATTGCAGTCAATTAGAATGATACTTTGAGCTGATTTTTTTCTAACTTATAGTTAAAAGATAGATCTATGCAATAAGCAGACAGTTTTTGAAAATAACTTTTCTGTTAGGTAGTAGGCCTGTTTAATTTTGGCAAATATTTGAGGCACAAAAATGATAGATATTTTTTTTAATTTCTTTAGTTTAAAAACATTTTTAAAAAGTTGTCTGCTCATTGCATACATCTTTATGAGAGGAATACTCCCTGAAAATTTCATTTAAATCGGTCAAGCGGTTCTCAAGATACTTCTGCCGGGAGATTAAAAACACGCGTTCTGAGAAAAATGCCAAATAAGTTGAAATTGTGATGAAAAATAATAATAATAATAACCCAGCCGGCAAATAACGTTGAAATAACGTTGAAATATCGTTGAAACCTAACGTTGAATTAACGTTGATTTAACGTTTAGAATGAAAGTTTTTTTCAACGTTGATTTATCAAAGTTAAATCAACGTTAGATTCAAACGTTATATCAACGTTGAGTTGACGCGAAAAAACGTTACAACAACGTTGAATTTACGTTGATACAACGTTTAAAATGATAGTTTTTTTAACGTTGATTTATCAACGTTAAACGACTGTATAACACTTTTTCACCATCAAAACGTGCTATGTTTGTCAAAATGTATATATGTATGTAAACGTGCTATGTGCGTCAAAATATGATCACCATCAAAACGTACTATGCACGTACATTAGTGTTGTTGTACATTATCAAGGTATATTATGGATATTAAATCTATTCATAGTCTATACTTAGACTATTTAGAACTTTTTCAGTTTAGTTTAGTTAAAATAGCTAGGTATGATTAAAGAAAGAGATAAAACTTGTTTTATTCAAAAATACATGTTCAAATATTACATATATTTACATGTAATTGTAAACATAAATCTACACAAATTTCTTCTCTTTTCCACCACATTTTTGAAATAAAGCGTAATTTAGAAAGTCAAACAATGTTCCATTAAACGAGGGTTCTTTTGGTCCATTGAATACAATATAAGAAGCTGTAAAAAAAAATATATTAAAAAAAAAGGGAAGATTTAAAAAATAAATAATTAATGGAAAATTCTTACAACTTATGAAGGTATATCTTTTTCAACGCCATATAGATTAGTGTTCTTAAAACATTTTTTTCCACCTTTGCCCTTCATATCCATCGAGGCCATATAACTTTTCGAAAATACTCTGAATTTTTAAAAAATAATATAACTGTTAGTTGATTATTAATAACTTTTTCAAATATTTAATTTAAATAAAACAACCTTTTTAATATATTAAAAATAAATTAATAATCAAAATATAAAACATTTCTAGCATTGAAAAATAGTTTTCTGGGTGGCCACATAAAATTTTTATAAGAAATTTTATGTGACCATTTATTAATGGTTTAACGTCCATGTTTATACACTTATGGGGCTTGGACAGGGATCAAATAATGTCATTTGTTATGTTAAATAGCATGCATTT